TCTTCTGCGACTTCTTCGGGAGCGTAGCACAGGCGTAGAAGTGTGGCAGACATGATGTGGGTAGGCGTGGATCAAAAGGTCTTGGTAGCGATGGCTGGCGTTAAGGCAAGGAGACACTTCAGCAGGAGCTGATCTTACAGGAACGTTCGGCGTTGTGAGGTTCTTCCACCGCTAAGCCACTAGTTGTGATGTAGTTGGGGGCATATGGGTGGTGGCGAATGAAAGAGGACTTGCTTGAGAAGTTTATGGGGAAGGTAAAGGTTTGACCCCCAAGAGGGACCCCGCGCCCCTAGTGCCGAGGGTAGAGTGTGACCTCCTGTCCTGTGACTGCTTCTTCTGTCTGCTGGGTCTGGTCTGCCTCTTCTGCTTCTCAAGACGTCCTTATATTCTGCGACTGCTCTCCTGCTGCCGGGTGCCTGTTTCTGATTTGTGGGGTGCCGGACCTCCGGCCGTGACAAGGGGGTGGGTTCGCCGGACTTGCACAAGGCAGAGAAAGTGCTTGGGCAAAGGAAGCTAGGAAGGAAGGCAGCTGCAAGGTGCGAAGCCCAACCCATCCGGTGCTGCATATTGTTGACAAATCGGATTTTAGTGTTGATGGTAGAATGTAATATTCCACAGGTATAAAATACTTTTATAAAAGAGAGGGAGGGAGGGAAGGAGAGATAGATGAATAGAGAGAGAGAAAGAGAAAAAAGAAAATAATAGATGGATAGATGTATAAATAGAGAGAGGGGGGAGATAGTGAGAGACTGAAATTGAGAGAAGAGAGAAAACTTTTTAAAAATAATAAATAGATAAAACACCAACCTGACTATAGCGATTGCACCCAAACCCAACAAATCGCTCATCGAAGAAAGGAGCATTGATCGGCAAAACTAGGATCGGTTCCCAGCGCTCTTCGTAGGTTTCGATGTCATAGAGGACTTTATATTCACTTAAATCCCCTTTCTCTGGTTGCACCTCCCAGCGATCGTGGAATCGACCATTTCCCTGATTCTTGCTGTACACCTTAAAAGAATGTAAGGTTCACCGAGTTATTTTTATTTTATTAGCTGTCTTTATCTGTTTTGGAATGTTAGTTTTCAAGGATAGATGTCTTTGGGGGAATTCTTTTTCAAAAATGTAAAACCAATATCAAGAATGATGTTTTACAGAGGATAAAAAAGAAAAGAGAGAGAGAGAGAGAGAAATTGGCTGCCCATTTTACCTCTTTGTGGAATATGCGAGCTCTGTGATTTCGTATCAGATCCAAAAGTTCTGTCTTATCACTCGGAAACTCAGCATCGTCCTGTATTTCATAGAGTGGTACTACATAAGCACATTTCTTGCATGGCGCTGACTGCTTCGTAGTGTTGAGAAAGCGGGACAACTTTCTGTTCATGTAGGGTGATGCCACCATATCAATGTCGACGGTGAGGACGTTTTCACAAGGGCATGCTCGGCGGGCTAGGTTCCTCATGTGGTTCTGCGGGTAGTGTTTTATCCCGGTCTGTTTTGGGTCCCGAAGAAGAATCGTCAGGCGTCTGTTCACCTCTTCTGGATCCGAACAGCTAAGAGGAGGTGCTTTGTATTCAGAGGAGAGTTTGGGCGGATACTTCCTGGGGTACATTATATGGAAGGACACGTTCTCTTGAACAGCGGGAAAGCAATGTCTCAAGTAAGATACCATAGCAAGGGCCACGGCATAATCAGACCCTGAAGCATAAATGGCCATGGACACTGGCCCTCCAAAAGCCTCAGCTTGTCGAGCCACCCAGAAGAGGCGGTCTACGCTCCCCTGGGTGATGAGACACACCTGAGAGCTCCGAGTGACTTCCTCCCACCGGGTAGCGGGCCAGAGGAATGAGTGGCTCAAGTATTTGCCCTTTTCGGCCACATTGGCAAAGGCCTGGGACACCATATCGGTTGAGTGTGCCTGCGATTCAGAGATTATGTTTGTTTTTAAATTTTAACATAGGGTTTTTTCTTCATGTTAAGTATAAGAGGGTTTTGACTTAGAACCCTGACTAGAGACATAACAACCATGATACAAAATCAAGAGCTATAGAGTAGGAGAAAGGCCAAATTTGTTTTTATTTCATAATATCTAAAATATGACCTTCTATATCTCATGTTACTTACAGTAGAAAGAGAATAAAGCTGCTCCCTCTGAGAAGACTCGTCATGGAACACATGTTTTGCCATAAATAGCAACATCATCAGAGTCAGTATTACGAAATCTTGGCGATTCAAATTCATCTAGAATGAAAATCCAAGGTTCAAAATTTGAGACTCAGACTTCCTAAAGATTCTTTAGTAAGTGAATATAATGAATTACTAAGGAACGAGTGGATTTCTAGTATTAAAGGATTAATGCAGCAAACTTTTGTCAATTTGTATACAGTATACAGTGTATATATATATATATATATATATATACATACATATATATTCATACTTACACACACACAGTCACAGGACAGGGGACAGCTCGCCCTCCGCCCTCAGTGCTAGGGGCACG